TCAGTGCCGGGTTTCTTGCTAGCCCCATAATGGTGCCCTCAATCAAGATATCTTTCTTTGCCCTTCCTCTCTGTCCTTCCCTTATCTCAGTCATCACATTCTCTCATGTTCTTCTCCCCCCTCCCTCCCACATGCTCCCAATTTTCTCAGAAGATCTTGTCTATTTCCCCTTCCCAGGGAGATCCATGTATGTCTCTCTTAGGGTTCCCCTTGTTACCTAGCTTCTCTGGGCTCTGGGGTTGTGGACAATAGGCTGGTTACCTTTTGCTTTGTATCTAATATCTACTTTTGAGTGAGTATTTATCATGTTTATCTTTCTGGGTCTGGGTTACCTCACTCAGGATGATTGTTTTTCTAGTTCCATCCATTTGCCTGCAAATTTCAAGATTTTTTTTTTTTTTAACCACTGAGTAGTTAAGTACTCTGTTGTGTAAATGTACCACATTTTCTTTACTCATTCTTCAGCAGAGGGCATCTAGGTTGTTTCCAGGTTCTGGCTATTACAAATAACACTGCTAGGAACACAGTTGAGCAAGTGTCCTGTGATGTAAGTGTGCATCCTTTGGGTATATGCCCAAGAGTGGAATTGCTGGGTCTTGAGGTAGATTTGACTTTCTGTTTTCTGAGAAACCGCCATACTAATTTCCAAAGTGGTTGTGCAAGTTTGCACTTCCACCAGCAATGGAGGAGTGTTCCCCTTACTCCACATCCTCTCAAACATACATTTGCATTAGTGGTTTTTATCTTAGCCATTCCAACTGGTGTAAGATGGTATCTCAGAGTCACAAAACAAGATTCACAAGATTCTTACATGTCCAGATGATATACAGTGTGTCCACTCCAAGTTGGCTATGTAAAACGTAATTCGGACTTTGCTTAGGGAAGAGTCAGACAGACCAAATAAGAGGTCCAGAAGTATAGAGCAGGGCGGGAGGGGGGGCAGAATCTGAAGAGGTTCTGATGTTGACTGCACCAAGACTGCGAGGCCTGAGGACAGTGTGGGAGGAACTTGGAAAAGTGGATCTCTAATACATGGTATTTAAACTAGAAAAGCCCAAAGCTGTGATGATTGTGACCAAATTATAAAACGGAATCTTTCTCTCCCAATTTCAGACAGTTCACTATCCAAATGGAAAACATACTGCTTGTTCCGCCGTCACACGCTATCACCTGCCGCCTGAATTTGTCCCAAAGATTCTAAACGTGCTTTTCTCACACTGGAGCAGAATCCCCCTATGCTGTATATTATTGCCAAAATGCATGTTAAAAAATATAAGCAGTGAAAACCTGTCTGATGTTTAGCCCTTGGAAAGAGTAGAGTTTCTTTTTAAACTTTATTTAGAGCTATGGGAATCTCTTTTATTTTCACTTCCAGTTGATTCTAATCTTTCAGCAGCGCACTGACTTCTGAAATAGGTTTAGTGCCCCCCCAGCTCCACCCACAGCTAGTGTTAAAACAGTCCTGCAATTCTGTCCTCTTTAATCTAAAGGACTAATTACTTTTAACACACATTGAATAGAGTTTTTTACCATACAGCACTTGGGGTATGGCACAGGTTTAAACCCCTTTATACTGTAAACAATTTCCATCCTAGTATACTAATTTTTCTGTAAACTACCATTAGTTAAGTATGAAATTTAAAAAGGGGGCTGTGGGTAGTAATATCTGCTTTCTCATTATTTCAAAACCTCCAGTTTTAGTTTTGCTCTATAACTGATATTCAATCACTTATATTTTGTATCTACTAGGTACAAATATATAACACTATATTTTCTGAATACTGTGTTACATAAATAAAATCCAACGTGTTTATCATCTGTAGCTCAAAATAACACCTTTTACTTTTTCTGGTAATTCATTTTTCTTCAAGTTAAAAACCAAGTAAGTCAGAGAATGGGTCATTATCCTTGGCCCAAAGCATTTGCTTTTAAATTGTATTGAAGTTTCTTATGGGATTAAATTTCATAGTTTCAGCCCTAAAACTATAAGATTCAGAATTTTTCTCTACAGTGCAAGAATTTTGTGCTCTTGACAAAACAACTTTTCTATTTTTATTTATTCTGATTTTTCATACCCCTGAAACACGGAGTAAAGTAGAAAGGTCTAACAACAAAAATTATACCCATCCTTCTCAGGCAGGACATTTTTCCTTGCCTCATTTCCTTCTGTCCACACTCCAGGTTTTAAGTTCTGTACTGAGAAAGAATGATACACTCCACGAGAAGCAAATGCTTTAGCGCGAGTGTGCACGTGAACACACACACACACACAACTGTAGAGATCCCTTCATTTCTTTAATATTCTTCGTGTTTGCTTTCCCACACCCATCCCTGTCTGCAGGATAAGTGACCTCCCTTCCAAGCCTGTAGCTTCCTTTTCATCCCCACCCTTTATAGCTGCGGAGTTTACATATTTTAACATTTCTAATCTCTATTCCAAATTATTTTTTTTAAATCCTACTAGCATTTTCCCTAAAACTTGATGTACTTCCTTCTCTTAACCACGAGCTCTACTCAGACTCCAGACATTAACCTTGACCTGCCCTTAATTTCCTCCTCCCTCTGGACTGAATTCCTGCAGATTAGTTTCAAACGTCTTCTTTTGGCTAACACGCCCGTGGCTGTAGCCACAGGGAGGAGGCATCTTGTTTTCCCGCGCATAGAAGCATTCACTATATGATCTATTGATGATCTGCTTCGGCACTCCGCTCTCTGAGAAAGCTGTTAGCACAAGAACTGCCAAGATGACATAATTTCTCAGAGCATCCTTCCATCCTTAGTTAAATTTACTCTCTGACTATCCCAGCCCCACCTACAGAGAAATTTTACGGCGATTCCAGTAGAGGAGCGATTTCCCTTTAAATAGTGCACATGTGTTGCTATTCTGCAATTTTTCGAGTTGGCAGCATTTTTTCCTGTCCACATGCAGGAGAGTGGCGAGGGACATCGTCCCTGGACCCAAGATCAGATCAGGTCGAGGTTTTGCAGCTGTCAGTTCTTGGAACAGAGACCCCCATTGTAGCACTGAAACCTCTGGGGTCCCGAGTCACACACCTCCCTTCTCCCACTGTTTTTTATTTTCTTCTTCTTCTTTTTATTAGATCTATTTCTCTGGAAGACTGTGCTACACAAATTTCAGAGACTTTCACACTTATCCCATTTGTTCTTCTTAGAAACCTTAACACTGGGACACACTGCCTTGCTCAGTCCTGTTCTAGTGCTAAGAGGACTCTGGGCCCGCTGATTGATCCCGTTCTTACTTAGGAAAGGGCTGCTCCGGTCCTCTTCTGGATGGACCACCCTTCCCAGTTACTGCCTCCAGCAGGAAACATAGCAAGGGCAAAGCCCAGCCAGCCGGTGCCCCGCCTTTGTTTTCATTAACAGCACACCTGGGCCTTAAGTACTCAGCAAATGCCACGGTGCCACACTGATGGAGAAGCTGGCTTTTCCTGGCTCGCATTTGCTCCTTAGCTCTCATTTCCTGTTTCTCGGCCTCCCCATGGTTTCTCTTCCCACCCCATTCCACTCCACAGAACTGCAATTTTTTTTCTTCTTTAACACAAACTTCCCCTTCCAGCCTCCCACCTTCAGGGCGGTTTCCCACGCAGGGCCTGCTCAAAGGCACGGAGTAGGGGTGTCAGGCCCCAGGAGCTCACCTAGGTTCCAAGAAAGTGGTACCCACAGTCCCCTGACCTCCAGCGACCGCCCGGGGCCAGCCCTACTCCAGCACCCCGCCGGGCCCTTTCCGCTTCCTCCGCTAGCCGCCCCC